GGGAGTGAGGGGATGGATGAGAGAGTGAGGTGATGTATGAGAGAGTGAGGGGATGGATGAGGGAGTGAGGGGATGGATGAGAGAGTGAGGTGATGTATGAGAGAGTGAGGGGATGGATGAGGGAGTGAGATGATGGATGAGGGAGTGAGGTGATGTATGAGAGAGTGAGAGGATGTATGAGGGGGTGAGATGATGGATAAGGTGATGTATGAGAGAGTGAGGGGATGGATGAGGGAGTGAGGGGATGGATGAGAGAGTGAGGTGATGTATGAGAGAGTGAGGGGATGGATGAGGGAGTGAGATGATGGATGAGGGAGTGAGGTGATGTATGAGAGAGTGAGAGGATGTATGAGGGGGTGAGATGATGGATAAGGTGATGTATGAGAGAGTGAGGGGATGGATGAGGGAGTGAGGGGATGGATGAGAGAGTGAGGTGATGGATGAGAGAGTGAGGTGATGGATGAGAGAGTGAGGTGATGGATGAGGGAGTGAGGTGATGGATGAGAGAGTGAGGTGATGGATGGGAGAGTGAGGTGTTGGATGAGAGAGTGAGGTGTTGGATGAGAGTGAGGTGATGGATGAGAGAGTGAGGGGATGGATGAGAGGGTTATGTGATGGATGAGAGAGTGAGATGTTGGATGAGAGAGTGTGATGTTGGATGAGAGAGTGAGATGTTGGATGAGAGAGTGGGGTGTTGGATGAGAGAGTGAGGTGATGAATGATGGATGAAGAAGTGAGGTGATGGATGAGAGAGTGAGATGTTGGATGAGAGAGTGGGGTGTTGGATGAGAGAGTGAGGTGATGGATGAGAGAGTGAGGTGTTGGATGAGAGAGTGAGGTGATGAATGATGGATGAAGAAGTGAGGTGATGGATGAGAGAGTGAGGTGATGGATGATGGATGAGAGAGTGAGGTGATGAATGATGGATGAAGAAGTGAGGTGTTGGATGAGAGAGTGAGGTGATGGATGATGGATGAGAGAGTGAGGTGATGAATGATGGATGAAGAAGTGAGGTGATGGATGAAGAAGTGAGGTGATGAATGATGGATGAGAGAGTGAGGTGATGGATGATTGATGAAGAAGTGAGGTGATGGATGAGAGAGTGAGTTGGGACAGAGGGGTTTCACTTCTGAACCCATGTCCTGTTTGAGCAGTCAGGTCAGGCAGGTCTCTCCCTGACTTTTACAGATGATGTGATCTGTAGTGAGTCAGAAGCAGGTGGAAGAGAGACTAAAGAGGTGGAGCTGTGCTCTGAGGAGAAGTGGATTGAAAAGTCAGCATTTAATGTTAGGGAGGAGGGAAAATCAAAGATGACATCATATAAGAGGATAATCAGAGGGCTGGTGTGACAGAGGAGGATTCTGGGAGCTTTGAAGAGGAGAATTACTTCATACCTGGAGAGAAACATCAGGACAGGGTTCAGGTGCTCCCAGCTCAGCCAAGGAGGACACTGTGGGAAACACATCCACCAGCTCCACCATGTTCCTCACAACTCTGGCATCTGAGAGCAGAGGCTCGTAAAAATTAAATTAGTTTCATCTAATTCTGCAGACCAGAGTCTGTTGAGCGTTTCTTTTTTTGTGTTATTTAATGGACTTGAATTTCATCACCGTTGCACCACTTTCATTTGAAGCAAAAAGTATCCTGAGGCCAAATATCAAAGTGAATTCCTGTCTAAACACTTTTCTTTCAAGCTCTCCTTGTATTTCAAAGGTCTCATTAATGTTAAATGGATGTATTAGTAAATGTTTTAACAAGGTTCACAAGAGCACTTAAAACTCTCCCTGCTTTACTTCCCTCACTGCATTTCATGACATCAACAGTGGCTTACTCTGAAAGCTGTGCTCCGATTGGCTGAGGACGTTGATGAAGGGGAAGTTTGACCAGGTCGGGTCTGCGGTGACGCCAGGAACAAACATGATGAGAGGCACGCGTGTCGTCACGTCAAAGTTTGAGTATTTGGCCCATTCACCGTGCTCCCCTAACGACCAGCCTGAGGAACACAAACAGGTGTTGGTTCAGAAACACAGAGGCAGGAGAGAATAATAAATCAATACATCAAACAAACACTGCCTTAAAAAACAGGGGTTACGTCTGAGGCAGTTTCGTTTACTCACTTTTTATCACGTCTTTCGCTGAAGGGTTATGAAGTTCATTAAACTTTAACTCTCATTTTAAAAATCTGATTAGCATCTTTTAATAAAACAGAAACCTGGTTTGAAAAAAGAGAAACAATGCAAACAAAGAGCTGCGTTTTACTGCTACAACACAACACTGCCATCTGGTGGTGAAAGCCAGGACAGACAGAAGGTTTCAGCTTGATCCGGTCCATCTGGGCCAGCACAGACCCAAACCTGTGGGCTTAAGTTGCAGGGGGGTGAGGGGGGTTATGACCAACAATAACTTAGATCCAGTCAAAATAAACCCCCCCAGTAAAATGACATCATTTGCTCTAACACAATAGAATGAATTGGTTAAGCACACAGCTGCACCTCTCTTGTTGTCTTTAGGTAACACTGACCTTCAAAATTTATCAGGTCATATATGTATGTTTAAACATACCTGCTGACAATAACACACAGGGTTTGAGTCTGTTCTTATCCCATTATGGCGGTATTTGTTGAATTGTGTTGTCATTTTTCCTGGCCACAATGTAGTGCACCAGGTAAATACACACTCTTGGAAAAAGGTATGCCGTAAAAATGTTAAACATTTGTTAATGTTAGAAAAAATGGGGGGAAAGTAAGCCTTTTCTTAACTGTTGAACTGATGTGGAACAAAAAATGTGCAGAGTAAATAAAAAGAAAACATGAAAGTTAAGTAAATCACAGTAAAAGCATTACATTATATTGTAACCCTAAAATGACTTGACTTGTTTTATGAAAGTAAATGATTCTATCTATATACATACAGGTCTTTCTCAAAAAATTAGCATATTGTGATAAAGTTCATTATTTTCTGTAATGTATTGATANTACATAATGTAATTTGAACAAATTGATCAAATATACAAATTTTATTAGCAATTTAGACATAAAAAATGTTTCATAAGTTGGCCAAAGTTGTCTAGTGTGACAGGAGGAAAGCCATAACAAGACTTTGGCTCAAACCTACAGCACCGGACCAACTGCAATGGACTATAATACAGGAAACATCTCAGATGGAAAAACTAACCTACACTGTAAAGTTAAGAAAATCTGATTACAATAAAAAATTGGAGAAAGTGGATTTATTTTTGGGGCTCAGATGAATTGATTTTGACAGTGAGTTTTAGGGATGTAATTAGGATTGTTTTATGTACATATCTGATGTTTTTCTGTTAGTTATTGACTGTGAACTCCTCCCTCTCCTCCCTTCACTTTGTTTTATGTTTGTAAATGTTTTCTTTGGTTGGAAAATTGCAATAAAATAAAAGCATTTAAAAAAGACCTAAAAGGTGGTGCAGGTTTTTTTTACAATAAATGTCTTCCCCTTGGCAAAAATCCTTTTTATTTGGTATTCAACAATACATTTAATACAAACTCAATCTATAAGATCCATGTTCAAATAATCCAACATACTGGATCATACAGAGAACTTTCTTAACATTATGATTGTTATGTCTTTTTATTTATCTGTATTCTGTTTGTAAAATCTCCGTCTGTCCACATTGGTCATTCTTGGTTCTGGCCTCGTCTTCATTCCTGCGGTGAGGTAGAGGAGCTGCAGCTTCATCCTCACCTGCAGACTCACATTCTGGTAAACAAACAGATTAATAAATGAGCTCAGGACCACCAAGGAAAGAGGTTCAGTTCTAAAATGGACTAAAAAGTACCTGAGAGAGATTGTCCATCTTCCTCATCACTCGGTTTTGATCAAAGTCTGAGTAGATGTTGGAGTCCTGGCCCGGGTCGTCCTCCATCATGTACAGCTCTCCGGCATGAATATCAGTTATGTTCACCTGCGCAGAGAAACACAACAAGGAGACACACCAGGAAGAGTGTCTGGATCCATCACACCAAGCAGAACTTGACACAACCAGACAAAGGGGAACGAAAAGTATTCACCGATCTGGTATTTCTGTTTTCTGACAACCTGAAATGTATTTACATTTACAGTTTTATTATAAATAACGAACCTACAATAAACAATCTAAAACTGAAAAGTGGTCCATGCATATAGTGGTCCATGCATATGTAGTTTCACTTTGAAGCACCAAGCATTACTGTCAGAGGCCACATAATTATATGAATAGGACAATCCAAGTACCAAATGACTTGACTATATTTATACACACACCTGTCCAGATCTGTCCAGAATCAACACCAGTGCAACATACCTTGAAGGAGCTCAGTAATTAATTTTTAGAAAGGTTATGTGCAAGCTAACAGGCCACCTTCCCATATTTGGCCACTGAAGCTGGAAAACATTTAGATGCTGAAAAGTTCTATCATGAGTCCGTGTTAAGTCAAAGAAAGTTTGTTTATTGAACAGGATGTGAAATTGTGTGTATGTATCAAATGATGTTCATCCTTTCACTGAGAACAGTGTAAGTTGGACTTTTTTAGGGCTCTCATCTCCAGTCCTGTTTGTACTGAGTACTGGTAGAATGCCCCTTCCAAACTGTAGATGAGTGCTTAAAGCGGAAGAGTTTGAGCTTCTGTAAGTCTCGTTTACGTGTGACGGTGGGAGGGATAAACAGACAGAGCGACACTTCAGTCAGTCGGTGAAAAAGAGGCTCAGCTGAAAGGTAAAACTATCAATTCACTGGTCTATGTTCCAACCTGTGCTCATGAGGTTTGGATCATGACCAGCAGAACAAGATCCTGGATCCAAGCGGTCAAAATGAGGTATGCCTGTAAGGTGGCCGGGCTCGGTCTTACATAATTTACTCTAACATAATAGAAATTAAATGGTAATGAAGGTGCAACTCTCTTGTGTTTAGGTAGGAGATATGGGATACAAGGGGTGGCATATTCTTGGCTTAAAAGTCATTTGGAAAACAGACTACAGTGTGTGGAAATGAATACGACTGTGTCACAATTTAGAAGGGTTATATGTGGAGTACCGCAGGGGTCTGTGATTGGACCAAAATTATTTTTACTTTATATTAATGATATCTGTAATGTTAATAATTTATTGAAATTTATTATTTTTGCAGATGACATTAAAATGTATTGTTCTGGAAAAAAAAATAAAGGACCTATTACCTGTTACTGAAATGGAATTAGAAAATCTTAAAACCTGGTTTGATATCAACAGATTAGCACTTAACATAAAAAAATTAATTCATGGTGTTTGGAAATCAAAAAGAAACTACTAGTCTTTGTTCCACTGGTGGACAAAAATGATGGAGTTTCTGCATTTGAACGTTTCCGGATGCTACTGGGAGCTATTTTTTTTTAACCAGGGTGTCAGACGACTTCCTCCAGTTCTTACCTTTAGTTTGACACCTTTAAAAAATGTCAAAAGGCTTTTAAGGAACTTCAGAGGCGAACCAAAGTGGTTTGTATCTTTTTCTAACCTATATAAAATTTATTTTGTTTTTAGTGAAATGAATAAATATTACAATGCTGTTATTGCAAGTATGACTCAGCCCCCTGTGCACAGTGAGTGTTAATCAGGGCCCTCACAATAGTCAGGTGGTTGGTGCACATGATCCTCAATGAACAATAGGTGATGATCAGTGTACTGATGATCTATGTTAGACTGGGGATCCTCTTTTGCATGTGAACCAACAGTGCTGATTGTCACCACTAAACCTGTTTGTCCACCACATGGAGGCACTGCTTAAAAGGCTGAGTTTGCCTGTACAGAGCCTTGCAAACCTGTACAGACCCCCTTGAACCTTTCAACCTACACTCACCGGCCACTTTATTAGGTACACCTGTCCAAATGCTCGTTAACACTTAATTTCTAATCAGCCAATCACATGGCGGCAACTCAGTGCATTTAGGCATGTAGACATGGTCAAGATAATCTCCTGCAG